CCTGGTTAATTCCTCTTATAAAAGAAAACAAGAGCTTGAGAAATGAAGGTCCTGTGACGTCATCTTTGTGACAGTACCATTCATTGCACCCACTCCTGCTGAAGGTGCCATAGTATTTGGATAATAAACCGGTGCCTCTGTAGGTGACAGTGATTCGGCAGAAATATTCCACAGGCGAACCACTCAGGTCAGTCATGTAAGGACTTATTTCGAAGAATTCAAGAAATTCCACTTAAAATTGCAAGTTGTCATTAAATTGCCAAAATTCAGCAAATATCAGCAGCTGAGTCCTCAAATTGAATTGCATTTCTCATTGCCAGATCTTTCATACCCTTACACGATGAGTACTACATCCATTCGCTCCATATACACCCACCACAATGTCGATGAAAGACCCCACAATCCGCTCATTTAATTAGGCCATGTCTATGGAAAAAATGTGTATATCTTATTACTAGCAATGCCAATCATAGAGATAGGGCAGCCGATTGTCAGTGCGCTACCCCAGAGCCGAGCTAGGGCGCCCTAAACTAAAAAGCGGACGATGTGTGTACATCAGCCTGTTTAATTGGACGATCAAAAAGAGAAGCCCTTGACGGGTGCCAGCGAGCTTGCTGACTGTTGACAGACACTCCAGAAATATTCATTTTGTCCCAGAGTATTTCCTTTTTCATCCAACTTGCCAAGTTTTCTACAGTGAAAGGCAGGATTTAAAGGTTCCCATAAGTTGTTTATTTGGGCAAATACTTGCACACTGTCCAATTTCATGACATGCAAGAGTAGATTAAGTCGGTGATCATACGACTCAAACGCCGTGTCACGAAGACTGCACTTGACTGTAAACAAAAAGGGATGGGCTTAATTTGGTGCTTTATATAATTGACAAGTAAGAAAAGAGTTTAAAATCTAACCTACCCATTGTAATTGTCGCACCACCGTCTGTTGAGGAAGGTAAGTTCTTTACCACCGTCCTTTCGCTATTCATATTTATGTGCTGGAGTAGTACTTGACGACACTCGTGAGCATCTTCTTCGTGCACGTAGGAGTGCAAGTAAGCAAATACTATTGCTAACCTCACTTAGTTATGTCTCTATCTGTTCTCAACATTTAATTCCATTAAATCCATCTGATACGGAATAGGCAAATTCGACGTTGACGCTTCCATTCCCAAGCCCTACA